GTCTCTGTAGGATCTTATATATGCCGGTGGCATCTTAATGATGCAAAATTACTCATCCGTTTTAAGGGGCTAATTAATCTCAACAATCCACACCGCAGATGAGGGGCGGCCTAATAAGAAAACAAGGCAAAAAACCAGTCAACGCGCCGTGGCTAGTGTTAGTTGTAGTTTACATAGGAGGTAGAAGTGGGTGCGGCCGCATTATCTATATCTGGAGACATGCTTGGATAGTAACATCGTTGTTGTCGCTTTACTGTGCACAAATACGTGCGCTGGATGGATGTAGCCAGCGTGAATTCAATGCGTGTAACAAGGTTACTCAGAATAAGACGCAGCGTCGTGGCTGACGCGGTGTGTGGGAATGGACATCGCCAACGTTGTTGTCGCTTGTCCGCGTCTATCGCTGACGATCCTTGTTTTCACTTACTACTATACTCTGTTCTAAACTACACGTCGCCGGCGTGGTTGTGCTACCCCAGCCATATTTTAATTGCAATATAACATAATATTGGCAAATAATTCCCCAGCACGGGATGTTCAAGCTAAATGCTTACAAGCTTATGACATTCATATTTTATGTACACATTTCACTGGTGGTATGACATTGGCATTGAAAAACAAATAATTTATTCTGTCGCAAACAGTTTTGGGTTCTTATTGACGACTTATTTTCTAACAGCTACTGAGGTAATGAATTAGACATTATACGTTGAGAAATCTCATGTCTGTCTCAGGAACTGCTTCATGATCCAATGAATGAACTGTCTCCGGAGTGGGTTCGTTCATTGTTCACTATTGACAACGAATCCTAACGTTTTCTCACTGCGTTAACCATAACGCTAACACATTTCCAACCTAAATGAATTACAGACAATCGCATTTGACTCTCTAACCTCTAATAAACTATGCGAGCGTCCACGCGACTCCTGACGGCCGAGTGGATTCTGTGTGTGTATGTGAAATAGGGACGTGCTCGTCATCCGCATGGAAGGTCAAATAGCGGATAACGCTCACGCATGAATATGCAGGCAGATTCCGCTATTCGGTACATTATATCTTGCCATTTTATAATTTCGTCCCCTATCTCTAACATTATACACCTATAACATCTTATTCGTTGGCTCTGTATATGGACTTACTTTGCTTTGCTATTTGAATTCTTTGTAGTTTTCAACAAATACTAGACAGGTAAATTTCGGATTAATGTATTTTAATATTATTTTTGCTTTTTAGCGTGTTTCTCGTGATTATTCAAGTACATGTTTTGCAAGAATTGCAATAAACGTTGTAATGTGCGCATAAACGGTTTAAACATATTTTTAGCGTTTTATTTTCATTATATTTTTAACTATTATTTTGCGTGGTGCAAATGGTTAAAACCTATGTTATACGTTGCGCTATGAAATTCGTACAATTCGCCGTGTTTTCATCACCAATTAACCCTAAATTCCAATGTATTGCTATTGATAGACGTTAAATGGCTATATATCAAGAAAGTCCAAGTGAAAGGTCAATGATTGATGAATAACTCTACACGTCATGGTATACTTTCTGTGCATATTCCTAGGCGTATATAGGCCCTACATTCATAAACCAATCGAAATATTAGCTAATATACTAGGGAGTACTACATGGGTGCTAAAATGTCGTAATAACTTTGGCGAAATTTACGCAGTAAATGTAGGTTGATAATCGACAATTATCTATTGTCATAAATTTTCTATTGCATGGAAGGATAGCACCAGCATGCGTGTAGTTTGTTTCTGTTTATCGCCGTCCTAATAATCCCTTAATGACGCATATAAACAGCTCATAACCTAGCCTGTAAGAGGAGTGTGAGTAGTGTGATGGCTGTGTGTGTGATGTGTGAGCCTCGTGTGTTCGTGTGTGGTCGTCGTGGTGTGTGGTTGCTCTGTGGTCGTGATGTGTGTGGTGTGCTGTGTGTTCGGTGAGCGAGAGAGAAAGACACAGAAGAGACAAGAGAAGTGCATGCAGGATGCAAAAAGGCTGTGGAGTGCCTACCGAAATGACGCTGGCTTATTGAAGTTTGTGCAGTGGAATGTATGTGTACATAACAATATAGCTATATCGTTTGCCACCACAGATATAAAATATATTATCAATATGGTATATACTTGACTTGCGATACTTTATTTTGATCAAATTCAGTGATTCGATAGCAATACATATGGTTGTTATTAGTATCAAAATAATAATCATATTTACAATGGTTCATAAGCACATTAGCCCCCCTTTTAGATTACATTTGAATACAAAAATATTGCATATCAAATCACAATTGTTTATAATATATACATCTACGCTACTTAACGGTAACTAACCTTTATGTCTGTAATCTTTTAGGCTAATCATCTACTTAAATTAAAATAAAACATCTTATTATTACTACTATTGCTAATTCAATAGAACCAAGTAATTCGCATTGCACGACATATAATATATATGTCCAATAACCATACACGACATGTATATGCTTGTATAGTAAATATTATCAAGGAGACTATATTTCAAAATTTTTGAGCGATCAGAGGATGATTCGCGCAACAGATTATTTACATCAACACCGTTCCCATACGTTTACTGACGTGTCACGAAAATCCGTTCCAGTATTCATTTGAGTTTGACGCTTCACTAAAGACTTAGCTGTGATTACTTCAACTCCACTGGATCATAGGCCGATTATGTACAGCATCATTTGAGTATATCACACCACTATCATGCTTCGCTCGTCGCCTGGTCTTTATAAGATGACACACACCAGAATACTGAAATAGTTACTCATCAGGAGTTAATACTGGGAAAGGACCCGATCTTGTCATCTACCTCTTTGTCGATAGTCTCAAACGGACACAGCGAAGATTACGGTAATCAAGGCCAATGACAATAGACTGCCACAATAACCGCCTCCCACGATGGATATGCTACTTTAGGACATACAGACTCGCTGACCCATCATAGATTTATTTTGGATTTCTTCGTTTTCGTCGGCCGCTGTCCCGAACCAGCAAATTCCGCATCCGGATTGCTTCGCAGCATGATAGTGACGCTGTTTGTACACATCCATTCTTCTCTGACGGCTTCAGATTCCTTGGCTTGCATTCGTGCCGTTTCCGCGTTAATGTCTGTCTCCACGGCCTCACGTTTGTACCTGTGCACTCTGTCTCCATTGCACGTGGGCTGTTAAGAAAAAATACATGACATATAAAAAATCATGACCGATGCATATCATTATCAGGAGTAAAAAGTATAATAGCTTACTCGATGATATTATGTAGTTGCTCTTTATTTCCTACACCGCTTTGTGTTCTGTGTGCTACCTTCCGCTTTCTCTCCTCTCTCTCTCTCTCGCTCTCTGCCTCTCTGCTCTCTCTCTCTCTCTCTCTCTCCTCTCTCACTCTCTCTCTTTCCTCTCCTCTCTCGTCTGCTCTTATCTCTCTCTCTCTCTCTCTCTTTCTCTTTCTCTCTCTCTTTCTCTTTCTCTCTCTCTTTTTCTTTCTCTCTCTCTCTCTCTCTCTCTCTCTCTCTCTCTCTTTCTTTCTTTCTCAATCAAATTGTATCTCTATTGTATATCTATGTTTATCTATGCATTTTCCGTCGTCTATCAAATAACGAACGTGCCGTTGTAATATATAAATATGGTGTGTAACTTCTTATAAGCTATCGGTAGACTCACCTGGTAACAATTGTGGTAACACACGTTACATTGGCATTGGAAGTACACGTTTTCCTCGTCCGGGAACCGGAATGCTCTAAAGTGGAAGAACCATGCCGTCTGGCCCGACTGCAACTTGCGCGTGTGGATTGGTTCACCGACCAGCCTTTTATTTGCAGAGCATCTGAAAAAACATTTAGAAAATATTTTATTTATTATTCTATAATAATAAGGCAGACTGAGACTTCCTACTTACTGAAGTCCAATAATCAAAATTTAAAAAATGCATAGTTCATGTAAAGTTTCAAATTATATATTGTGTTGACAAGCGTGCATGTACATATCATACGGATATATGAAATTTGCATGACCATTTTCTCAGGCTATAAAATGGTTTGTGTTATTAAAAGAATCCATACATAATACATGATACGATGGTTAGTTGAGAATTAAATAGATAAAGTGAGACACTGAAGCTTTCAACATAAATATAAGTAAGTATATATACCCGTCGTCATTGATCAGGTCAACCGTTGTATGCTTCCCACCGTAATGGTCGAAACGATCGTAAGCATAGCAGTTGCTGACACTCAGGTCGAAGTAATCTGAAGCAGGAAATTATTCACATATATACACACACACAGATACATACATATATATATATGTTAGATTTATATATACATATATATATATGTTAGATTTATATATAGTTAAGATAAATTACTGTGTCAATGTTTACTATAAATGTCTAAGCTTAATTATTTACAACATATTTTCCCCAGAATTTCCATGTCAAGCGAAGCAATATGTTTTCAATATCGGTTCATGAAGAATGTATACTTACAACTGTCATGCAGATATACGACCAGGGTAGCAGTGTCTCCGAGATTCAACTCGCTGGTTCCGCCGTCCAGTGGATCCTTGCCCTTGACGATTTGCATCCAGCAGGAAGGCAGTGCAACTGTTGCTGTCTCCAAGGTTGAAACTTCGTGCGATAATCTAAAAGGACGAGTTAAATAAATGAAACGTTCTAAATGATTAAACTCATATACTTATTATGAGCCTTTTTTTTATATCAGAAAGATATGAGCCATGTAGTTAGTGCGCGCGGGCGTGCCTGAGCATACGAAAGTTTAAACTTTTTTCAATCGTCTATGATATCGAGCTATATAAAGACCTAACTAATTATTCAACCATCATTAGTATTATAAACATTATAGCAAACATGTAATATTATACATAATTTACATATGATGTGAGCGCACTTGTGTTCGTGCATGCGCGCGCGAATTTCTGTGAGCGTGCTTATAATAGAGATAGTGCTTACGGGACTGCGAGATCGTAGTTCACAGTTCTTGCTCTCATTCCGCTGAATTCACACCTGACTGTGTAAAATTCGTCCAAGCCATCCAAGAATCCCCAGTCTTTCTTCATAATGACGATTACATTCTCAGCTCGGTGTGAAGCGTATTCTTCGTCAGACTGTCGTACAGAAAAGCATTAACATAAGTATAGCTATCGTGTTGCAACACATGAAATTGCATCGATGACAATTATTATTGGCATGATCGTTAACAGCGTCAATGTCATCATGTTTATCGAGGTTACTAGTGACGAAATTATCGGCATTGTCACAGCTTTAGAAATGATATATAACGTGTTCCTTGAATCATCAAGATAATAATATAAATATACGAACCATCGCTTTGTTTGTTGTTCCACATTTTTCCATTGAGATGTCAAAGTGCACGAACTTTGTCCCATCTCCAGACACCCTGCATGAGCTATCGCCGTAGTGATTCCTGGTGTAGACAACTCCGTCAAATCCGTGTTCAAATCCTAGCTTCACCTTCATCTCATGGTCGTAAATGTCACAGTTGACATCAACATCTGCAAATTAAGCCAAGATTTAATTGCAATGTCGTTCGAAATGAATAGCATTGTCGAATTTATACGTTAAATTGTGATATCAAGCTATGAATAGGCAGAATGATACGTGAATAGTCAGATAAAGAGTGGAATGTAAAATGCTAAACACGAAATCAACTATCCTACTTTCGTGGAAATTGATTTCATAGTTAAAACGACGAGAGAATTGTGCTAATTAGCAAATACATACCAACGAGTTTGTTATCTTCTGGCTCCTCGGGCAGCCATGGGTCATAGGTAGTTGTCTCATAATCGTGATGGTCTGGATATTCAGTGGTCGTGTAGTGATCGGGATATGGTTCCTCAGTGGTCGTGTAGTAATGCTCAATGTATGCTTCGTCAGCCCACGAAAGCACAATCTATATACGACGAATAGAACTAATATTACACACCGTTTGGTCGCATTCATTTTGATTACATAGACTAATGGTTGGTGTTTATAGAGCTTGTGTATTTTTATGCAAAACATTATGGTAGACGTACCTACTTTCAATTAACATGAAGAAAACAGCATTAGACAGAAATAATTCTTACCATGCTCAACAATAGTAGGATTATTTGGCGAGCCATCACTTCCTATCGTACGTTCAGGTCTATACCTGCAAAGGTAAGACATAAACCGTGCATAAAAACGTGAAATCATGAATTTATAAAGAACGTAATTATGATTCAGTCGCGCTATATCTACCACATACTGTTGACCATGAATAACTTCCCTAGTAACGTGACATAGTTTCACTGGTCACATTGATATTGACCACCCATACGAAGCCGTGATATGGACCAATCCAATAATCACATAAGCGAATATATCAATCCGTAAAAAATGTAATATAGTAATACGACCGTCAGGCTTTTTAAAAAACGTTTTAAAAATGTTAAAGAAAATGTTAGCAAGAAAGATGCAATCATGTGTGCACCAACTCAATCCTTCTCGCTATATTTGTTACAGATATAGCTAGAGTTCCACCATGAAGTTACGCGTAGAATATAAGATACGTGAAGTACAGTATATACATATAAGTTCACACTAATACATGCCTTTGCACATCCATAAAAAACAGTGCATCATGAAAACGTGAGCTAACTTCACTTACCGAATGAGTGTTTCTGTGTCGAATTCTCCCTGGCAGCTGCAGACCTGAGATCAAGTACGGAACTCGAATCACGAGCAGCATCTTATATAGCTCAGCGACATCCTGATGATGCGGAATTAGTCATCCATCGGATGCCCAAACAATAATTATGCTTACATACATCCTATTCGTGCAATGTTCGTAACCGGTTTTTTGCGACAATAAACGCGCATTCATGAAGAAATTCCGACGCCGACAAAGTAACGACGCAATCGCGTGCGCATACAAAAGCGAGTCAGCGTCTAAACAACAAACATATTTGCGATGAGCTTGTCTGCTAATAACGATCGCGTCGGCCAGCCTGCCGACCGTGAGAGTCGCGGACGGAGCTGTTGTCGTTTGGCTGCGTCGGTCGTTGTCAGCGATTGATGGGAAGAGAATAGTTCTTCACCTGTCAGTTTGCATCACTGCATGCGTGTCGCGTCACGTCATGTCTATTCGCTAGGTTTTGAGACGACTCGATTAATTGCATCTACATTCCAGAATTGTGTACATTCAAGATGCAGTAGTTACGCTATGCGTGTATAAGTGAAAAGATTCACCTAAACCATATGCAAAATGGCGGCTGCGAGATGAACATAATTGGCTTTTACATATCCGCTACATCATCTGCTGAATCTTCCCGTATTACTCTTGTATACCTGCATTATATTAAGAGCTCACAATAGAGATGAACTCTCTATTATGAGCTCTTGATTATATATAACAGTTTATACAGCATCTAGCAGCAGTTTATCTAAGTAGTATATGCGTAAGCCCATCTAAGTGTATGCACATTTCAATATTTTGCGAATAAATCGTATATTTCTGTTGATTTGTCCCTGTTAATTTCCATATGGCGGAGGCAAGGTATCAAAAGTTAAATAATAAAGTCGTTTTCATTGTTACATTGATAAACCAAGAATCGGTTATTACAACTTATCCCAATTATAGTTTCTCCTTAAAATGCGTTCTATGAGGATTGAACGAATGAATTGTTTTTCTACAAACAAACACAATATCACCAGGATATTACGACAAAAAACACAATATATATTAGAAGATATAGTGTGAGAGCTAACGATATATTAGTAAAATCAAGAAACTCTGCGTAAATATGGTGATTTGCTGATTTGGGATTATTTTGCAACGTGATGCCTGCGTATAAACACTGCTGGCCGTACGCACGTAGGCGCGTTGTACTCTAACGCTTACCGACGTGTATTTTCTTACCAACGCAACAATTCACGTCCGCCTTCCTAACGAGCAACGCTTCGTCGAACCCATCCCGCGATAAGGGCCATCAGGTCGGAATCCGCTCCCACATCCGTAACCGTTGACGCGTCTTTGTGTCGTCACCGCTCCCAGGGTGAGGCGTCAACGAGGTGAACGCCGCCGCGGCTGCGTGTTGTCGTTGCGGATTGTGTAACCTATGCTGTGCTCGGCGTGGCCTGTTTACACCGTACGCGAGCGCGGCGCTTTCAAGTCACCTGTATTGAAGAATTACACATGCGCCTATATACGAGTACACGCAAACGCGCGCTCGCACGCACATACACACACGCGCGTATATACGCACATACACACACACCCACACACATGCAAACACAAACACACGCGCGCGCACACTCACA